CAAGAGTCCTTCTTCCAATATTTCGACGTATTTCGCAAACTTTATGTTGCCAACGCACTCCACTAAGCTCGATCTCCCACCAACCCAAACAGCTCCCCAAACCATCACACTGAAACCACCATGCTTCAAAGTTAGCTGCAATCTGTTGAGCCAAAACTCTTGGTGAGGCATTTGCCATACCCATATCCTTCCACTGTCCGAAAATTGAGCGAATCTTGATTCGTCTGAGAACAATACGGTCTTCCAAAAGTCCAGAGGCTTGGTCATCATATCACTTGCCCACTTCTTTCGTCTGACTATGTTGGCAGGTCTTAATAAGGGCTTCTGTCTAGCTGCTCTGCAACAATAACCCAATCTGTGGAGAATTCGTTGAATAGATTTCGGGCCCATCAACTTTGGCCACTTCTGCAGTCGTTAATCTGAAATCCATTTCGATGCTCCTCTTGACAGCCCTTTTTGTCCTCTCCATGGACCAGGACGACCCGTACGCTGCTCAGTTGTTTCCTTGCCATGTTTCCTGAACTGCACGATGATTCTTTTGACTGTCGAAAGCGGGATTCCCAAATTCTGCGAAATTTGCCGCTGACTTATTCCACCATCTTCTTGACCAACTATCCTTCCTCTAACAAAATCTGACAGTTCGAGAGAATCTTGAGTTCTAGGCATGTTGTAGCACAAGATAATTAGTGTGCGGGCCATTTTGATTTATATAGTGTTCTGTGAACACAAATTAGTTAGCATAAATCAGTTAAATGACGAAAAATTAAGTGTCTATTTACTTGTGACCGCTCAGTGTATCTTCAAATGGTATGAAAGATAAATTGATATACATGTGTCAACATTTCGCCCAAGTTAACGAAGGTGATGATAGATTAACTGTGGTGAAATATCGATGCAGGTTGTCAACTTATTGTCATAGCGGATAATGTCTGTGACAATAGCACCCAAATGCGTTCAAAATCCTAACGCTAATGTTAATCTAGTCAGCCGTCATGGTAAATCAAATATGGGTACAAAGCTGAGTGCTTACACCCACAACATCACGGCTTCTACTGCCTTTCACTGTCTATTTCCAGTTGTAGGAAGGCAGTTGCCCTTAAATTTCTTATAGTAGAAATGAAACCACCCTAATATTTTTACTTATTAAACTCCCTACCTCCACCCAACAAAACTATAAGATATTAAATATAACTATAAACCCTACTTTAAAAGTTTTTATATAGTTCTTACTTCCAACCTCCTCCCTTTCTCTTCAAGATTTATTCAAATATAACACGGGAACGCCGAGACAAGCCCAGCTAATTGAAGTTAGTCTTTCCGTCTCGGTTATACTGAAAAATTGTTACGTATAAATCAAAGTAACTAACGCCCTCTCTGTTTTATTTTTATAAGGTATTTTCCTTCATCGAAAGCTTAGATTCTAAAATATTTTTGTATTGATTAAGAAATAAATATAGTTATTACAGACTATTAAAATCTTTTCAGTTGAGATATAATAATACCTTTTAACATGATACACGGAATAACACTGTTAGGTGTGGGTAGACCAAGGATGGGAAAATTAAATTCCCTTTTTTATCAAAAATATTCAACCACACTGTCCAAATATAAACAATTAGCATGGACCTCATTATTATTATTACTTCTTTCTATTGCAAGTTCTGTTGTACATATCAAGCTTGGTGTGAAATTCATATCATTTATAGGTATTAAGTAATCTATGTAACAGAAAGAGTAAATGCATAAGTTTGTTTGTTTGTTTTGAATTTCGTGCAAAGCTACACGAGGGCTATCTGCGCTAGCCGTTCCCAATTTAGCAGTGAAAGACTTGAGTGAAGGCAACTAGTCATCACCACCCACCGCCAATTCTAAGGCTACTCTTTTACCAACGAATTGTGGGATTGACCGTTACATTATAGCGTCCCTACGGCTGAAATAGCGCGCATGTTTGGTGGGACAGGGATATGTATAGGTTAGGAGTTAA